AAAGAAAGAAAGAAAGAAAGAAAGGAAGAAAGAAACGGGGTACACCAAAATATTCAGTGCTGACTATGTGTCAGGGGATCCATCTAAGTATGCTTACCACACAGGAACTCCTTCAGACCGTGAATCCTCCTGAGGGTTGCTGTTGCTATTGCCATTATTCCCATTTTTCAGAAATGGAAACCGAGGTGCAGGGAGGCCTAGTGACTTCCCAAGCTACCAAACCCAAATGGTTTGTCTGCAGTCTGTCACTTAAACTTTGACCCCAGGCGAGTCACCGTCTCTGAGCTTTGTGTCCTTACGTGGGATGGGGGAAGGCCATGCTGGCCTTGCTGCATTGTTAGGTGGGAAATAACGTCTGGAAATGTCCTTCACAGAGCTGGGCTCAGTAGGGCGGTCATTAGAATATCACCTCCAGTCTTTGGTTAATTTCCTTCGGAGGAGAATTTTTCAAGCGCCCCCACCATGTGGGGAAGACAAGCATTTCCTTACACCTCCTCTGTTTCCCTCCTTCCCTCCATGCATCCACAAAGCCCTTCCCAATCGAGCAACCACTTAGTGGCTTCACCCTTTTGTGTGTCCACAGGCTTTGTGTTGGAATTTACCATGACATGTTTTGCATGGAAGCGCGATTGTTTCCACTTTACTAGGTTGGAGCCCCTTCCTGTAACATCACATGTTATGCCTTATTGGGACTTCCTGTCTCTCAAGTACCACCTGCAAGGGGAGGCTCTCACTGAATCCATGCCACCAGAAGACTTATAACTCCACAAATCATGTTCTAATCTTGTTCCTATCCAGTGGCATCAACTGGAGGATGACCCCCGCCTCTCTGTTTGTCTTTATTCTGATCTGTTCAGGTCAGATCAAGATCTACTTTTCCTTTACTCAGCCAAAACACGTTCAAAAACTTTTCATCAGAAAGCTCTCTGGGTAAATCTATCTTCTCCAAGTCACTATATCTGGCCTGGTTTGCTTTTCAATCTCTTCCAACCAAATGATATTGATAAAAAGTCACCATTTTTGAGACTACAAGTGTATTCTGACAAAATCCCAGGGGAATAAAAGCAAAAGAACTAACATAAAGTGGGAAGAATTTGGTTGTCAGCGGTGGCACACGCTCGATTCAAATCTAGAGGCGGAAACGTGAATGATGAACAGAGCTGTTGAGTTTTTGTGGGTTTCAAAACGAGGAGCCACTGAGCCTCCGGACAGGGCCTCGGAAACACGTCAGGAAAGGGAGCATCCTGGGGGTCTCCTTGCAGTTGGCTGGGCACCTCCCACCCAGCACGCCCGCTGGGCAGTCCTGGCTCCTTGGAACCTCCTCACTCCTCCCCCGTGCCATGTTCCTTCCCTTCCAGATGTAGCGGCAGCCACTGGGCTCAGAAAAAAGCCAAACCTGAGGAGTGAGCTTCCAGCGCTTGGGGGTGGGGGGTGGAGGGGAATGGTCAAGAACCTTGCCCCAGGCTAACAACCGTTAATTTTCAAAACCAGCAGAAGCAGAAGCTGGAGATCTTGAAAACTGGGGAAAAGAAACCAAAGAAGCAGAGTCCTTGTTGCAAAAGTTTCATCCATGTCCTTGTATTTTTCCTCCTGTTCCTGTTCCTTTTCAGACGAAACTGCATGAGTTCTGTATTCCTTCAACACCGTAGAAAGACAAGAGAATTTTTTTTTTTACAAAAATCTTTTCCTGTTACTTAAAAATTATTCCTGCTGTCTCCCAACTGCGGTTCATTTGTTGCCTTTTAGCAGATATTTTTAAATTGAAGAAAGATACAGTTTTAATCATAGTAAATTGCATCCATCAGCTCATTTAACTTCCCCTAATCTTACCAGCACCATTGTAATGTAGGTGTACTGTGCAGATGACAAAGCAAGCCCAGAGAGGCTGAGGAACTTCCCAAGACGCACACGGCGAGTAAGAAATGAAACTATGGATCCTACCCTATCACTTCAACCGTTCTTTTACTCCATAAAACTCAACTCTCCTTTAAAATCTTTTCCAGTCTCTCCCAGAACGAAAGTGCCGATAGCTGCTTCCCTTATTACAGTAAGCTCTGAATAAGTCGACTGTGATTCATTCTGTAGGGGCTCTTTGTGATTTTGATAATATCTCAAAAGAAGAAAAACTGATAATTTGGCAGTTATTGTCTGAATAAACGAGGCCATCCTTCATTAAACACTGTAATATTTTATGTATATATTCTAAAGAAACAAAATGACTTTACACCTATGATTTTTTTTTTAAAGTATCACATGTTTGAATCTCTCCTGATAGATATTCCCCTCCAATGTGCTTTTATTGTTGATTTAAGCATCCTCTCGGGGCCATGGTGTCCACCCAGAGACCCCAGGTTATAGCCCGAGTTCCTTCTGCTCCACCTGTTTGGGAGTGGGGCGGGAGGAGCCGCCCATGAAGCCTGGTTTTTCTCAGCTTGCTCCCCATCTCAACAGGACACTGGTAGTGAGCAGGGTTCATGATAAACACTAGTCACCACTCACAGAGTCCTCCTCTTGCAGGGCCAATCCATGGCAAGAGCTTTCCTGTGTAAAATACACAATCTGTAAACAACCCCATGAGGTGGCTTACATTATTACCACCAACCTATAGATAGGGATGTTGAGTCTCAGAGAGGTTTAGGAGCTTGGTCAGGACCACACAGCCTAAACTATCTGGGTCCTTTACCTCATATTCCTCCGCCTCGGGAGGAAATGCCTTGGACTGAAAACTACGTCTGGGTCCTTGATTCCCACTCCTGGAGACCACAGCACACATTTAAAGAGACACATCTGGGGGCTAAGGGTGTGGTGTGCATCCAAGAACCAGAGGTGTCCCATAACCCCTCCACTACAGTACTTTTGGCCCCCACGGCCTTGAATCTTGTGTGTATTGCCCCATTTAGTCCCGACAAGGACTTTTCGGATGAATAAAGTAGCACCGGCTTCTTTTGCAGGTAAGGAGAATGAGGCATGAAGAGGTTTAGCATCTTGCCTAAGGTCATAGACGCAAGGGGTGGACTAAGGATTGAAGCCATGAACCTTTCACTCGTTCTTTTCCTCTGGGCTCCAAACAGGGGGAGTCAATGGGCTCAGGGCTCAGAACATCAAAACGTCTCTCAGCACGAAGTGAGCAGTAGTTGTTGTACAAGTGGTCCAGGAAGAATTTGTCCGGATGCTGCCTGTGGTTCACGCAAGGTAGAAGAGACTTCTCCCAAGGATGGCACCAGGCAAAGCCGGTCCACAAGAGTGCCACCAGCAGCCTCCTCAGTGGGGCCACAGCCTTCCCCGGTGGCCACCATTCCCTGCCACACTCAAGGGCCCGAAATGACATTTTACACACCTCACCTGTCTCCACCTGGGAGGCCTGCACAAGTCTTGAAGGGCAGGGCTGGGGCCTCACTCACCTCTGTCCCTCCCTTAACGCCCAAGGGGGATCAGGGCAAATCAACTGAATTCACAATTCTCCCGCTTCTGCTCACACTGAGCACTCTCGCCTGGCTCTGGCTCGGGTGGGGCCTGGCTAATCAGAATGATGGGCTCCCGGCAGAGCGTGAAGAGGTGCTCTGTCTGAGCGGCATTCCTCTTTCAACGGAGACCCACACAGGGAGGGAGGGGTCTGAGGTGCCAAGAGCCGCGGAGCCAGGCTGCAGGACTGCCTTTGGTGTCACCTCCTCCCGCAGGCGTCCCTTCACACTTGCGTGTGCACACGGGCCAGATGGAAGGCGCGATCCTAGCTGCTGCCTGAGCAGGTGGGAGGGAAGAGAGACGAGAGGTATTCCATTGGTTGTCTGGGAAAATGAATTGCACCTTCCCCTCACTTGCGGAGGATCAACTTTTCCCACCCCCTCGGGTGGGCACTCGTCACCCGGGGTCGCAGCCAGAACCTGGGAGCCCAGTGGCCCCAGTTCGAGGGAAGTGGAGCTGGGCGGGCAGTGGACGCCCCGAGCCACTGGGGAAAAGTGCTTCACGATGTCCCGCGTCCCGAGGGTCCTCGCGGCGCGGCCAGCGGCCCCCGCCTCCAGCTGCCCCGCCCGCGCCGGGCCCCCAAGGGTTAAGCGCGGGCCCCGCGGCGCCGCGGCCGATCCCGCCACCGGGTCCGGGGCGCAGACAGCCGGCCGCCACCTGCCGCGCGGGGCCGCCGCGCGATGCGGCGCTGGAATGAGGAAGCGCGGCGGCGAGGGGAGGGCCCGGGCGCGCTGCGCGCGGGGGTGGCGGCGGCGCGCCGAGCGGGCCTGGCGCGGGCGAGCGGGCTGCAGCCGGCGGCGGCGCCAGCAGGTCT